ATGCATTTCTGCATGTTCATCTGTAGCAACTCTGACAGGAGCAGCCCCCCAAGCAACAACAACACAAATTAAAACTTGTCAACATTTTGTTGTCGACTATATGATATCAATATTTCAAGCATTGTGGAAAAATGAAGCTTATTCTTTTGCTGATGATTCCCAACATTCAGCGAGCTGGAGTTTATTCATCATTTAAATTGTTTATGAGCACAGCAGCTTTTTAGACTGTTGCCTGGTGATTTTGACATAATATTAATGTCACAGCTAAAACACCAGACTATAATGTTGAGTCTGTGTGAATCATCTTTGGCAAATAGACAGAGCAACAGCAGGCGTACAGTAAAAGAGATGACAAGCATGCGCATTGCATGATTATGTGAAGACTAACGCTATTCTGTGTGTGTGCGTTTTCTAAACTAGCCCTGCATATGGCTCTACAAGACAGTTCTGATGATCACTTGGGCATGTGCAGCTAGGATATATCAAAATATGTCATGTCAGATGGAGCAATTAGAGATGTACATACAGATAAAATACCAAAGTCCATGCTCAATAATCCAGGTATCAAATCCAACAATGTTCAGTCAGGTCATCTGGACGGTTTCTTTCTTTTTTTTTTTTTTTTTGTGCTGAGATGTTTCTCTCTCCATCCGGAAGGCTTTATCAAAAGCCTGATGGTCTGACAATGGGTGGAAAAATAAATGAGGCTGCAAATTTTGTGAAATTCAAAATTTGTGCCATTCTCAAAACTTTTGTCCGTCTTAGGTTCTTCTTAGCTTCTTAGGAACATGCATTTGTAGGTTCATATAGTCTTAAAATAGAATGCACAACGATTTTAAATCAGTCTGATTTTTTTCCACCAATATGCACCAAAATGATTATTTGCAGACCACCACTGCACAGAGCAGGTTGTATTTGCACTTTATTATTTGAATAACCCCAGACTGACCCTTTTCCTGCCTTTTACAACCGTCTCATGACTGCAGCTCAGTACTCTACTTCTCTTTTAAACTCTAGGGAAAACTGAGCAAATTAGCAAAATGGAATTTGAGTGATTAGTTGACATACAGTACGTTTCAATAAGTATTTATCACATTACCATGTTCTTATTTTTTACTTACCGTACTTTCCATCGTATAAGTCGCATCTATTATGCATCACCGCTGACCACCCACAAATGTGGGCCGGTGTTGTGCCAAAAATCGAATGGCTGCCAAATGGCGGGACCATGCGCAGGAGGACTTTAACAAGAATTTAACAATATTAACACTTAAAAACAATTTGCTTGCTCGACGTTATCACAAAGGTGTGTCTCGGTTTAACTTTTCCTTAATAAATGCACTTTAATGGTCAAATCAGCTGCATTTCTCCTGGGCAGCGTGGCAAAATGCAGCTGATTTGACATTTGCTCCAGTAGTTCCAGAGCGAGACGAAGGTGGTTTTGTATGGTAAGCAAAGTGTCTCATTAATAGCCACTTTTACCTATTCATGAGATACTTGGCTTACGATATTAGTCGAGGGCCCTCTAGTGGCTGAAAATGGTAGTGTTCAATATTTTTCATGTCAAAATGAATGACATTGTCAGATCTCAGTCAGAAAGTGGGTTGTAAATGAGGAAAAAAACAGTCGCTTCCGTGTACAAGTCACAGGATTTGCAAATGTATCCAAAAAGATGTTACTTATATGGTACTTCAATATTAATCATGCTTTTGAAGCACATTAAGAAGCACCAATCTGTCACTGTAAGCACGCATACAAATCTATCAAATGTATTTTAAATAGCCTAAAATAATAATATTCTGTGGGAAATGTCCTTTAAACAACTTGTTTAGTAGAGGTAATGAAGTCTAATCAGCATCAAAATATTAGTGAGCACAAACAACTCAACCAATCTGTCAGATACTCCACTAGAAAACGCTCCAAAACCCAAAACATCAGCATGAGAAAAGTCAGAGTAAAAGAGTGAATCTGATGTTTTATCAATTTAATGTTTTTACAATAGGAGCAAAATAAAATAAAAATAAAAAAATCCCACAGTGATGACATACAGTAAATCACATCCTAAATTCTTATTTTATTCAAGCTGTGACAATGGACACAGACTATTGAACTGAGCTTTTGTTTTCTAAAGTGTGTCTAATCTAAATATTAACATGTAGTCAAATAATTACAATACTTTTGGCTTGCAATTAAAAAAAAAGGCATACAAAAAGAGGACTGAGTTAAAATTAAAATACACAAACTACAAAAAACAAATGTACACATCTGCTGTGTATTTCATCTAGCTCTACGAACACAGTCACGCAAAAACATAAATATATATATTTTTTATTATTATTTTTACAATTATTAGTGGCTTGGTGTGCAAGAAGTGATGTTTAATTTGGTGACATTTTAGACAGGACTATTTTACATGCATCAGCTATAGTTCTCTGTCCTCAGCCTCCTGTTTTCTGTCATGAGTCAATCTTTTTCTAGTTAATCTGGAAAATATTACCCCGAAAACTCCTGATCTCATGCGTGATCGTCTCCCTTAAGGCTACTACTGTTCCCGTTTCGATCCAAAACATGCTCCAAATATAGCACTGGACTTTTCCCTCACATTTTCAAACCTGATTTTACTTTGTGCTGACCAGACATTTCCCGGTTTCACCGTAATCTCAGATTTTCTGTTCAGCTGAGTTTACAGATAAAAGACGAGAGGAGGGGCAAAGAAAATGGGTCCAAAATGCACATGACTGAAAGAGGGGAAGCCTGAGCATGGGGAGTAATGTAGCGCTGAATCCAGATCACTGAACACACCAGGATTTCTTTTGTAAATTCCTGAAGCAGAGATGCTCAGTGATTTCACGTCAATGTTTGTCCCACATTCGGCGGCAGCACTTTCACAGTTCTGATAAATGTTCAGTGTCTTCATGAAGACAAGACATAAAGAAATGAAACAGAAAAATAAAAGATGAACAGTTTGATTAGTAGATTTTTTAATAATGTTCTTAAAGACATGCAATCCCAGAACTAACGTTACCACACAAATTATTAAAATACAATCTAATATTGCATTTATTTATGGTTTCCCTGCTGTTTTATGTGATTAGGTAGAAAGAGAAGATAATTTAGTTTTCTGTTTTCACTCATTCAACGACTTTTATAATAATGAGTCTAGCTTGGAATAATATTTATCTATAATCTGAATAACTGCTCAGATTTCCACAAGATCTTTCTGACTTTCAAACTGCTGATGACATCTCAGATGTTTTGACTGCACAGTCACTTGGATCATGATAGTTTCTTTTTTCTATGAAAAACCGAGGGATTTCTGATGTTATTGTCTTTTATTTTTTTTTATTTTTTTTATAAAACAGCACAAGAACAACAAACATACAATACTATACTTTGCCATCATAGCCTTTTCTTTTATTATTATTTGTTGTATTTTTCACCGTTCCTAACAAAACATCACCTTTTTTTAAAAAAGTTTTTAATACATTATACCAATGTTAAATTTAGATGATTTCAGGGCCCCACCTGTTTTATGTGTTGAAATTAAAAGCAATGTTATTATATTGTTTTGATCCCATATAAGCACAGGGTTTGCTCGGGAATTAAGCCATAGACACTAAATGACGGGTCATTACTGTATTAACTAATGCTTTACATGTAGATTATTTAATCACATTGTCAAAGTTTGTCTTTTGCTGTTCTGTTTCCTATTTTTCATCCATTTTTGGAGGGACTCTAAGCATCAGGAACATAAATGGTAAGTGCATTAATTAAACCATTTTGCTTTAATGGGATTTTCTTTATTGCTTGAACATTTGTCACTCTGGTATGTTTTTCCATTTTAGTGGAGAGAAGACAGTTATGAGGCTATTAATGAAATGTGAAAATAAAATGCACTAACTTAAATTCAGAAAAAAATCCAACGTCTTTAACAAGTTAACATGAGACACAATATGTAATCCAAATAAATATGTAAAGGATGTCAATTTATTTATCTTATTTTATAATTTGACAGGTAATTTCAACCAAATATAAAGTGTTTCTTACATGCCTTTTTGGAAATAAAGACTATCCTTTAATATAGCACTTTATATTAAGAAATATTTATAGTTTATTTTTTCATTTTCCTCTAAAAAAGTGAAAATCCTGCAGAAACCAGAATGCTGTGCATGCAGTTTATCTCCAGTTTTCTTCCCAGGCTGCTGCTTGATGCTGATGTCTGGAACGGCTGAACTGAAAATAGCCACGAGTTGGTTTTAACATCTGCAGCTTCTGGAGGAGCTTTACATAAAGATAGATGACATGTGAGCACATAAAGTGCAACATCTGAAACCGGCTTTGAGTCCTGCGCTAAAGCGATGAAAGCTTCATGCAAAATCCAATAAAAAAAAAATAAAAAAAAAGATTAAAAAAAAAAATCATGTGTTAATTGGGTGTGCAAAGAATGTGACACATTTAGAAAAAAAAAATGGATCTTTAAGTTTAAAATTGTGCATAAGTAACTGTAAAAATCTATAATGTGTGTAGAGTAGACTATTGTTGCACTTCATTTGTGTGAATCTTACTTTTGTCACAGTTGTTCATATTGTTTAAACTGAGCACGATGCAAAACTAATTGTATTAAGCAAGTTTCTTTTCTTCACACATCATGCGTTGCATGGTTCTTTAAAACCCAGTCAGCAGCAGCAGCAGCAGCAGCAGCCCCTCTTCAGCCACCCATCCACCTGTGAATCAGTGACGCCCCATGCATAGTAAACAGCACTCTTAAAGAGGCCTTCCTCCTTCTAAGATACAGAATTATAAATTGTTGCAACAAGAATCAGGGGGGCTGTGAGGGCAGGTCGCCAGGGGGTGGGGAGAGGGCGATGTCAGACAGCCTATTTGTTTGTAACACAACAAAATCCCTTCACACAATTAAGCACGCTCCGCTGGAGCCGCTTGACTCCGCCCCTCCCAGCCGGACAGCGTCCCTCCTTCAGTCCCCGCCCCTCCCTGCCGGACAGCATCCCTCCTCCTGCGCTCCTCACGCGCTGCGCCGCGACGGTGAAGGCTCCTCGCAGCCCCATGGAGTAGTAGAAGTAGTAGTGTGGCCAAGAGGAGGTGTCTGCTCGGCTTCTGCACATCCTCTTTTCGTGTTCGTTTTTTTTTTTTTTTTTTTTTTGTTGGAACTATCGAATGGGAATCTCCTTCCTCACTGTGGAGCAGCGCTTCTTCCCACCGCGGTAAGTGTTTCCGACGCGGTGTGGAGGAAACCAGAGGACTCTATTGTCTGTTGCTGAGGCAAGTTCGGACCTGTAGTCTGATTTTATCCGATTCAATGAAGAGGTGGGAACGTTTAGGGGGAATGGACGCATTTCCTCACAGATTTTCGCGAAGACGGGCTGAAGAACGTCGGCATTTGACAGACACCTGTCTCTTTACCAGCAACAGTACATGAGCGCCTTCTTAGAAACGGTCCCTGAAGGCATCATCGTGCCTCAACCCTGCCCGGCTGCACGTTAACGCGCGGACAGGCTGAGATTTAATGTGTCGCCTCGGTTGCTGAGCAAAATGTGCTTTCTGTCCAGCAAGGGAAAATAAATAAAAAATAAATAAAAAATAAATAAATAAATAAAATGTGGCCCATCTCCCCGCCCCCCAACAGCATGCAGTCGTGCAGGGCGCAGTTCAAGCCTCTCAGATCGCTGGAAAACGGGATTCCCGAGCTTTGATCATCACCGTGGGGTCATCTTGAAATGAATTCATAGTTGCAATGTGTTCGCTGGCTGCCTCTTATTGTCTTTTTATTCCCACTGCAGTGCTGTGGATTTACTGGTTTTAGCCTGAGGGGAAAGCTGGTGATACAGATTAATCAAACTGAAAACGTGTCATATGTTCTGTCTTTTCTATTGCCCTTATAAAAAGGTAAATCTTGGTCTCATGTGATCACAACGCTTGAATACTAAACCACAGTTTCTTATATTGCAAGTGTACAGTGACCGTTTGCTTCTAATCACATAATATTGTTCATGTGCTCAAATTTGCCACAGATAAAACCAATTCTGCTTGTTCATGTTCTGCTTTTAACTACCATCGAATCCCTCTTCCTTCCTTGGCTGAGCACTGAAGGCGATAAAACATCACCCACCCAGAGCAGAACGATGTTTCTACTAGCAGTTTTGCAGGTGGAGCTGGAGAAAATGTGCATTTTGCTGCAAGTGTCTGTATTTACAGGTACGTCTGCTGTTGTCCCTGTAGCTGGTCATATTCTGCAGACAGATGGCAGGTGCTTGGACATCAGGTGGACTGCATTTTTGGCTGTCAGCAGGATCCGATAAAAAAGGAAACACCTTTTGGAATATGGCCACAAACTGCACTGGCGTGCACTTGAGTTTGTGTCTATGTTTTTGCTGTGAAGTGCCTGCACCCTTAAATCACTGCATATGTTAGAACCTACTACAGCAAGAAGAATAAAAGCAGTTCAGGTCCAGATTAAACACAATCCTAGACATATCAGTTTTTATAATACAGTGCATTCACATGCTGTATAAAATGCCATTTAGTAAATGTTCTCTATCTGAGGAAGCCAGCAGATTGTGTCAAATCTTTATTTTGTCAGAATCACCCATCCTGAGCAGCGCAGGGAAAGGAACGACTCCCTTTTAACATGCAGGAAGAAAACTTCATCAGTCTGATCTCTGCCTGGTTTGGTTTTGGTAATAAAATTCAAAGCTCTTTATCTCTGTCCAGATTTATAATAAACCTTCAGCAAGCAAGATGTTGTAGCAGAAATATGCTCCTCTTATCACGACTGATCTAAAAAAAAATAAAAAAAATAAGAGGACTGCACAGAGGGGTTGTGAAAATGAAATTCAGCTCTTGTGGCAGTTTTTTTTTTTTGGGGGGGGGGGCTCGGTGATAAATTCAAATGCATAAGTGAAACATCAGCTGCACCCTCCCCATGTAAGATACTGCCATAGAAATAAATAGTTATTCACCAAAACTGCTCTGGGGGCCACAGTTTCTGAAAGCCAGCAGCTCAGGGGCCGAACATACGGCAATTAGTCATTATGTAAATAAACTTAAGTATTACCTGTTACCTTTTTACATTTGTTTGTTTTATTGCATTTACAATAAAACTATATATAATACATTACAGACTCGTGTTCAGGCTGCTGTTTAATATACCGTATTATTTCACATTATTAGTGTTTAGCGTATATCTTAGATCTTTTAGCGCATCGTTTAGCGTGTATCAGTGTATATTTTAGATCTTTTCAGAGATTCAGAGTTTCTTTTTTGTCGTTCGCACCACATGTGGTACATGTGGTGGAATGGAATTATGTACACAGGATCCCAGTTACATCCAACAATAAAAGGTAAAAGAAATACAGTAATAAGATCTAAGATATGAACTAAGAAAAACATCTACTAAATATATACTAAGCACTAATAGCATAAAATTAATGAACACAATACGCCGAACAGCAGCACGAACATGAGTCTGTGTGAGCAGATGAGTATGATTGAACACCGCAACATGAAACAGATCAGCAGCATGATGGGATTTTTCACAGTGATTATTCTGGTTAGAGATTCATGAGTCTAACAGCCTCAGGGTAGAAGCTGTTCCTCAGTCTACTGGTTCTACACTTTAACCTCCTTCCTGAGGGGAGCGGGGCAAAAAGTTGTGTGTGCTGGGTGAGTGGGGTCCTTCATGATGCAGGTGGCCCTCTTCCTGCATCAGGAGGTGTAGATGTCTGTGATGGTGGGGCGGCTGACTCCAACATCTTCTGTGCAGCCTTCACCACTCTCTGCAAAGCTTCTCTTTCTGCAGCTGTGCAGCCTCCATGCCACACGTTGATGCTGGAGCACAGGATGCTCTCCACTGCACACCTGTAGAAGGAGGTGAGGACTGAGCTTCCCAGACCAGCTCGCATCAGCCGCCTGATGAAGCAGAGTCTCTGAGCTTTCTAGATCAGGCTGGTAGTGTTGTTGTGTCTTTTAGTGTATATCTTAGATACTCGTATACTGTTTCTTTTTATACTTTATATTTTAGCGATTTTTGGGTGTATCTGGGACCTTGAGTACACAATTTCGTACCACTTATGATGTGAATGGCAATAAAGAACCTTGGACTTGAACTTGATAAATGCAACAAACGGAACCCAAAACCTAACCCCCACCCCCCCAAAAAAAAAAAAAAAAAAATTAATGAACTCATTGGTGGACCGGACTGAAGTCACCTGCAGGCCGGAAGTGGCCCGCGGACCACCAGTTGTATAGTCCTGAAATACGCCATTGTTTCCCTCTCCTTACATTCTTTGATTCTCTCATCTGATTGTATAATTGTGCACCTAACATGAGAGTGAAACGTATCGTGTTACACACTGATAAAATTCTGGGGGTATAGCAGTGATGCCATACATTGTTTAGGTAAACAGAAGCTGGTTATTGATTGCATCCCTCCCCCCACCACACACAACACATTGTATACACACAGGCTGGATTACACACATAACACACCTTTACCACAGTCCAATGCTAGCAGGAATTTGATTACAACTATCAGTGGGGGGCAGTGTTATTAGGGTGTCTTGATTTGGTAATAGATCTGTCACTGTGATGCCTCTTGGGAATGATTGGCCCTCGTGGGTGTGATAAAGCCTGTCTTGTGAGATGAAGTGACCCCAGCCTTTATCTGTGAACGCTGATACAGACAAGTGTCAGGGGGAATGACGGAATGTTAATGTCTGCGACTCTTCATGAATATTCATTTGACAGATTTTGCATTGTGGGTAATTATAGTCAAACATTTAGATGCACCTTCTCATTCATTTTATATTTATTCAATAAATATTAGAAATATGCTTTCATTATATCTTTTAGTTAACTGACTAATGTTACCGGTTTAACTGTTAGCTGAGTATGGACATTTTCAGCAAAATACTCTTTGAATTTGTTGCTATTTATGTTTTTTATTTTTATTTTTTTATGTTCAACCCCTATCCAACAATGTTCAGTCATGACATCTGGATGGCTTCTTTTTTGTGCTGAGACGTTTCGCCCTCCATCTGGAAGACTTCTTCATTCTGAGAAAACGCCAAACAAAACTGATTCTCTCCCAACAGTGTTGGATTGTATACCTGGAATACTGAGCATGGACTTTGGTGTTTTGAACCAGTTTGATATGACATCAACGAGGGAGAGGGTGGACACCGGAGGAGAACATCTATCCCAGAGGTCATCTTAGTACCAACATAACAGGTTGTTTTTTTTCCACTTTGGAGTAAGCTGTTGGGAGGAAATCAGTTTTGTTTGGTGTTTCCTCAGACTGATGAAGCCTTCAAGATGGAGGGTGAAACGTCTCAGCACAAAAAGAAACTGTCCAGATGACCTTACTGAACAATGTTGGATTTTATACCTGGATTTAGACCTGTCGCGATAAACAATAAATCAATTAAATCGCATGATGAATGAAAACTATCAGCCTCATTTTCATTTACCGGCTTTATCCTTTCTTTGTGTCTTACTTTCTTTCTACTGAAGACACGGCTCAACTCCAGTGCTTTTCACTGACCCCTCCTATTCTCTTTTCTCTTTAAAATCTGTTTTTAACTGGCCAAAATCACAATTTTTGGATTGTTAAAAGCAGCTATAAGCTGAGAGGCTAAGCTATGAGCTACGCTAACAGGCTGACCTCAGGGGAAAAAAAACCCCCTCTGTCTTGTCGATCTCCAAAATTCACGGATCAAACCCGTGCCTTTGTGTAAAACTTTTTTTTCTGCAAAAAGAAGCTGAGAACTTGTTTACTGATTTTTTTTTTTATTATTAAAAGCTTTGTGTGAAAAATGCTATGCTAAACAGCTCAAATCACAGAGCATTCGCCATGTCAGCCTATGTCACAACAAGGGCCCTCCCTCCCATTTTTCTTAGAGACATGCTGCTCAACTATCCATCCTTTGGTTCAAACAGTCTTATACTGCCATCGGGTGGTCAAAAAAAGGTAGTACACTCCAAACAAATCAACATGTCTTCTAAAATATGACAATTAATTATTGTTAAATTTCAAAAAATATTATTTATCTGCAATAATTTCTGAGACAATTAATTGCCCAGCAAAATTTGTTATCGTGACAGGCCTACCTGGATTATTGAGCATGGACTTTGGTGTTAAACCCCTATGTCCTGGTTTGTTCCCCTGGTTCCATTCATTATCCTCCCTCCACATATCAACCACCTC